GCTGAATCCGAAAATGTCGACAAAAGTTATAAAAGTAGAACGTTTTTGAGATTTAGTAAATTTTCCATATAATATGGTATTGACTATATCTTAAAACTGCTTTACTTTTATAATTTTTGACGGTATTTTCTGATTCAGGGGACAATTTTACATAATAATAAGCTGTTAAATGCCCGGAATACAAATAGCTGTGGACTAAAGTTATTAGTGACTGCTTTTTTACTTTGAAAACTAGTCATTTTTAGAGAGTACGTCAACAAAAACCAGTTGTAGTTATTATATTGTTTAGATTGTTTTTTTTTCTTTAGAGTATTTTTATCACTGACTATTTTCCTCGTCTTAATTTCCACCAATCACAAACGCGCAATTTTGAACTACCAATGGTTTCTATGTGGAAAAACTGTATGACAGCACCTGTCAGCAGTTTTTTCGAGTTTACCCGCGGCAAAACTTGACAGCTGTTGTCACCAAAAATTACAATTTATATTTTAATTTTTAACTGTTACTCATAAAATAGTCTTGTCAAATACCATTCGGGCATCTAACTATGGAAAAAATCGTTAAAACACAATGCTAAGTAATATTTTTTAACAAAATGCATTCGTGCAGGTGCAAAAATCCTCGTCTTCGACTCGGATTTTTGTTGCCACCAGCACTCATGCTTCTTGTTAAAATATTACTTAGCAACGTGTTTTTTTGATTTTTTTCGAAAAAATAGATGCCCTTATGATATTACTTGTTTGTTTGGTAATTTAATAAATATTTTTTATACTTAATTTAAGCGGTTTTTTACATTTTCAATTACATATTGCCAGTTTGTCGCAAAATATATATTTTTTAAATTTTACGGCTTAAAATTCAAATATTTAATGTATTATATTTAAATATAAAAGGGGCGCACCAACGAATGCTGCACGCAGGCGCCAGACACCCCAGGAACGGGCCTGCGTGTTGTAAATCACTAATTTTTGTTTTTACCTCATTGAATAACATGTCATAAATTAACATTTCAAAAATCTTTGACATGCAGTTAAGTATACTCACAGGTCTATAGTTATTTGTCATATTTTTTTCCCCCGATTTAAAAATGGGAGAAATTTTACTAACTTTTAGGGAGTTCGGAAAAACTCCGTTATCTAAACATAAATTAAAAATAAAAGTAAGCGGTTCAGCAAAGAATTCAGCGCAACCTTTAAATAAATAAAATGGCAAACCATCGGGGCCTGTGGATTTGCAATTTTTTAGCCTTTTTATTGAATTTAGCATATCAGTTGTTGTTATTTTTATATTATTTGAATTATCCATTCTACTATAGGCGTTTGGGTTTGTGTTTAATGAGTAAACTGATTTAAAAAAATTAGCAAAAGCATTTGCAATATTTTGCCCTCCCTTATAAGACACATCATCATAAAAAATTTGTTCTGGTATTGATACATAGTCTTTTTTCGATTTAACAAACTTCCAGAAAAATTTGGGATCGTCAATGACAGATCTTTGAGCTTGGAGTATATAATTGTTGTATAAGTTTTTTATTTTTAGATTGACTAAACGTCTATGATTTTTATAATTTTCTTGGTCATCTGACAAATTTGTATTAAGGAATATTTTACGGAGTTTACTTTTTTCCTTTATTAATTTTATTAATTCTTTATTATAATATATTGGATATTTGGTATTTTTTTTACATAGTTTTCCTGTAGGAACCGACATATCTAAAATATCAAATATCTTGGAATAAAAATTTTCCATACATAAGTTAACCTCATTATTAGAATACAAAAAAGTCCAGTCTTCATCTTTAAGAAGCTGATAAAGTAAGTTAAAATTGGCATTTTTAAAGTTATAAAAAATTTCTTCTTTTACTTTGCACTGTCTAGGCTTTATTTTACGTATATCACTAACAATCAAGGAGGGATGATGGCTATCTTCTTTTGCTAAAGAAAAATCACATTTAGAAACATTTACTTGAAGATTTGTTATGATTAGGTCCAGAATGGCTCCATGTAAGTTATTTATAAAGTTTTTTTGAAAAAAACCAGTAAATTCCAAAAATTGGCTTAGTTCTGCCTTAGCTACGCTTTGTATCTCATCATTCATTAGTCCCGGTATGTTAAAGTCTCCCGCAATTATTACACTATTATTTTTAAAAGATAGGCTTTCTAAAGAATAAAAAATAGATGTATACAATGTTAAATCACTATTAGGGGGAATATAAATACAACACAAAATTAGGCTTCCCTCATTATTTACTTTAACACATATGCCCTCTACTTTATCATCAAATAAATTAATTTCCTCACACTTGAAATAATTATTTATAGCTATTAAGACCCCACCACCCTTTTTGCCAGTTCGATCCTTGCGAAAAACCTCATAGTTATTATTTATAAATTCTGAATTGTTAACACTATTTTTTAGCCATGTTTCCGTAATTAACAAAAAATCATAATTTTCAGTTAGTGAATTTATATTAAAATCGCGCATTTTATTACATAAGCTTCTAATATTTTGATAATATAAAATATTTGACTTTTTAAATTTATTTAATTGCTATGCCATGCCTAGACTAACACCGGTTTTTAAGTCATTTAATATTTTAACGTAACATGGACAGTTTGAATCTGTTGATGCATGATTATAATCAATTTTGTTTTTAGAGCGTTTTTGTAGCCGTATGCAATTTGCACATTTTTTTATATCATTGGTACATAACTTAGTATCATGACTTTCTGCACAAGATAAGCAACACTGCCCCCCTGCCTTGCAGTCAGCAGCAATATGCCAAAAATCTGCACATTTAAAGCATCTTTTGACGTGATATGAGTCTTTTACTTTTCCAGATGACCACCCCACTGATAGTCTACCTAGATTTAAAATAAACTCCCTTGTTTTATGATCAACAGATATAATAACATTAACTTTATCATTCTCTGAACTTTTCATTATTCGAACTACCTCTAGTTCCTGATTTTCATTTGCTGAATCGCTAATTTTATTATGCTTAATTATTTTTTTGGCTAATTCTTTTTTGTCTAGATTAGTTTCCGAGTTATCGATTCCGTAAATAATTATTTTGGGCTTAATAGTTTTTGGATTACTGATTGTATACTTATCTACTTGCAGATTACTTTCCAGAGATGTTTTAAGTATATTATTCGAATTACTTGAATCACATGTAATAACAACACCACTATTTATTTTTTTAACTCTATCAATTGTAATTGACAGTTCATCAGGTTTTATTAACTGTTTTAATTCCGCGTACACTTGATCGCCGTTTATGGTATTGTCTTTTGATTTGACTATCACAGCGTTTTTCGAAAACGTCAAACTTTTATTGTTTATGTTTTGGTTCACTTTTGCCCTGCTTATACTCGACGTAGAGGCAACCAGCTGAGACACCTTCGGCTTCACTGTTGGCTGTCGGTCAATCGCCGTGTTTACATTAACCAATTCTAGCGTTTTTTTCGACTCGAGGTTTTTTGCTGCGACTTTGCTGTATTGCTGATTGTTTCTTGAAATATTGTTTTCACATTCAAAACTCGCGCCACTTTTTCCAGCACCCGATGTTTCTTCGCTGCAGGAATGTTGAATTTGTTCATTCTTATGAAAATAAGTTTCTTTAATTTTTTGACTTATTATCTCACTGACTCTTTCCTCGTATTGTTTAAACCTTGAGTCCATTTTCTCGCTCCATCTACTCATCAAGATGTCAAATTTATCCCAAGGCATTTGATCACACAAGTTGCACAACCACTTCATGGATTTATAACTATTTAGAGCATTTAATGCTGCTTTTTTAACTTGAACACAATCGCTGTGAAAAACTTTTTCACATGACCCACTGCATTTAATTAAATTTCCTTCATTTACAACTTTATTGCACTTATAACATGACAGCTTGTCGGGGTCGCCGTCGTCGTCCGACATCTTGCTTACATCTTGCTTACTATATAAGTGATAAAGCAGCCACTAATAACTATTAAATTAGTAATTTTTGACTAATTCATTTTTAGAGAGTATAGATATTAAAAAATTGAAGATGTAAAGTTTGCTTAAAACAAGTATGGTTTACACAGCTAAATGTAATTCTTATAGCTGGTACTTTCCTTTCTTCAAAATTAATTCAACCATTGCAAAATTTATTTTGCAGATCGATAGAAAGTTTTTGGCAATAGTGAATACAAATCAAAACATTATTATAATTGTTTCCTATATGTATAGAAACTGTACTTAATTTACCTATAGGTAAATATGTTATTTCAAGAGTTTAAATTTACTATAAATAAACCAAATAGTTAACTAGTTAGTAATAATAAGTTAAAAAGTAGGTTATTTTAGAACTGACATAACGTAATATTAACTTTTAATATTAACCTTTCAAAATGATTAAGACTAGTTATTTTTTTAGACAAATTTTGGTTTAACTTAAGTTATTTTTTACTAAATATATTTTAACTCGCTGTTTTAATGCAAAACATTATTAGTTTTGATAATTTAAGTTATTTTTTTAAATTTTACCACTCTAGGGTGGCCTTTATTACCTTGTAAGTACCATTTTTTTAAATATAAATTAAAAGAACAAAAAAATTACGAATGTCAATGTTTTAGAAAGAGACAGCAAACAGTTAGTAATTATAACGTTATTTTTACGTAAATTTGTGGTATTTATATTGTTTCTATTACGTTATTCTCTTAGTAGATCAAAAAGGTTATTATGTAGGTAAAATAACGAAATAAACCATTCCCCAAATTTGGTAATTTTGCTTAACCGTAAAAAATACTTTAAAGTTGACTTAGTAGTAAATTTGTAGTTATTTATTAATACTGCTACTACCAAATATTACCTTCTTTTTACCCAAAAGGTACATTAACTAAGAAGTTAATATTACGTTAATTTTACCATAATTGAATTTCCCACTTATTACAAAATAACTTTAATTTAACCAGGCATAACGTAAATTTAACGTTAATTTAACCAGTTGTTAACTTTGTTCTAGACATAAAAATGACTTCAAACTTAACAAAATGACCCTTACGGCCCCAAGTCAAAAACTATTCTACCGACCAGGTACGATCGAAGAACAAGAGGAAGATTTGACCAGCTTGGACTCTTCACGTCTGCATCTCAACACTCCCGATTCGCCATTGCTCTTCAGAAATGGACAGCGGCTACTCACAGCGCCCACGCAGATTAGCTTGGCCAGGATATCCACCTGCAACAGCTCTTTATCGCACGTGCCTGGGACGCTACGTCACGACAGCTCCAGGTTTGTTTGCATCTCGCCTCTGTTGATGTACGATGTCGGTATATAGGTAAAGATGAGGTTTAGAGATAGCCATATCAAGTTAAAACTTGGCCAAGAACCTTTGGAAACGTTTTGCCAATAAATGTACACTATAGGATTTAATATTATAAGTCAGAAATTGTATAATTGAATTATTTAAACTTAATGAAAATACAATTTACGAGGTGTGTTCAGAAAATATCGGGAATTTTCGTTTTTTGAAACAAATATTTATTTATTCGTCTGCATTAATGTTGTCGCCTTCAAAATAGTCCCCATTGGATATTATGCACATGTGCCAGCTCTTCTTCCAAAACTCGAAACACTTCTAAAACTCGATCTTTGGGATAGCCTTCAGTTCTTTCAGCGATGCGCTTTTAATGTCATCTATGCTTGCAAAACGACGGCCCTTTAAGGTTCTCTTTATTTTTGGGAATAGGAAAAAGTCAGACAGAGGCGTGTCTGGCGAATATGGAGGCTGGGGCATCATTACAGTATTGTTTTTGGCCAAAAATTTTGTTCAAAATTTAACAATTTTAGAACAAATTTTGCTGCCACGTTTTTTATACCCAAAACATTCGAAAAAATTTCATGGAATGAGCCAATCGATATACCAACATCATCAGCGACTTCTCTGATGGTTTATAACCATTTCTTCCATTTTTCCATGTTTTTATCGGTTGTTAATGTGCTTGTGCGTTCGGGGCGTTCGTCATCTTCAACGTCTTCACGGCCATCTTGGAAACTCTTATACCACTTGTAAACTCTTGTTTTACTTATAGCAGACTCACTATAGGCCTTTGTTAACATTTCACAGAATTTATTTCATTTATTAAGCAAATTCTTTGATCCATTTCTTATAACGAACGAAAAATCGCCGAGCTCATAAAACACGTCTAACCTTATCGGCTGCCACAGACAAAGTAAACAATGAAAACAGCTAAAGTTTTTATCATACTTCGGGGGCATGTATACCAACATAATAAAGTAAATTTTATGACAACCGGACCCTCCGAACTCGCGAAATTTAACAATTCCCGTTATTTTCTCGTATGTCCAAATAAACCCCAATAAATGTAAAATATCATACACCAAACTTACTTGGGAAAAAGTTGACTAATTTCTTCCCCAAAACATGATTCTCTGGGTTATTGTGGTGAAACGGGTCAAGGAAGGATCCTTGTGTCACACCATCTATTGTTTGATCTAGTTTTTCTAGAGAATTGGGTTATCTGACGTTATCTAGATCCTTAATTATTTAAATCGTAGGAAATCAAAGTTAATCGTTTTCTAGATATAAATTTGTGTTGTCATTTGTTTTATGAGTTTTAATTTACTATGATTTTGCATCAATCTTTGCATCATCAAGATTTTTATAAACATAAAAAATACAAATAAATTTCCACGTTTTTATAATAATAAAAGAAAAATGAAACTAAATTATTATTTCAGATACCTATGTATTCAGCGACTTATACAAAAAATATGGAAAATAGAACACCTAAACTTAATATAAACCAACACTGACAACATAAAATAAACATAACAAAACATAAACTACAAACTGAAAAATAAAATTCGTATAGCCAATTCTAATATTGAGATTTAATCCAACATGACTTATAATAGTACAAATGTATTCAGCGACCACAAAAATTTTGTAAGGATAGAAGTATATCAATAATGTAGCACATTTGATCACCAGGTCATATTGATTGATTTATCCCAGTCCCTGAACAATTTTGCAAATACCTACCTACCCATTCGAAAAAATAATATTCAATAATTACTCACAAGAAATGTGGTACCAACCTCACAATGATACACTTCCTAACACTAACTAAAACTGCAAACTGACGATGCAGATTGCAGTTGAGCGACCGGCCGGCGTCTTATTTCAAGCAAGAAATCATTTCATTGGCTATCTTAGGTGGTGTGATGCTTTTCACCCGAACAAATTGTCCAATATTGTAAAATTTATATTCTAACTCAAAGTTATACTATATTTATCCGAATTATTTAAAACATTGTACAAAAGAGTAACATTTAGTTTTGAAATATTTTTAACAACAGATTATATTTATCATTATATATAATGGTTTTTATTTTTTTTAAGTATTCTACAAGCCTAATAATTGCTACAAAAACTATTGTGACCTATAAAAATTTGTATTAATTAAATAATAACTTCTTCCTTGCTATTTATTTAATTGAACAGCCGAATTCGGTACTCATACACTGAGTTAAATAATACCGCAGCAAAAACTATAATTTTCACTAACTTTACTTAGCTAAACTATACTTAGGAAACAAGATTTGTTTAAAACAAAAATTGTAAACTTTTTGACTATTAATTAATTCTCAAAACCTGGTAAATGATCTTGATGATAATAATTTAGCATTAAGTGTTAGACACTAGTGACAAAGTGATTTACACTAACAAAACAATCATAGCCGCCCCTTTTTAGATAACAACGCTTCACCTACTGATGTTGTGTACCTTATTTCAAACACACAATTCATCTCGTGCGCGATTTTGATAATTTATTAGCGTCCTGATGTTATTTATTATCACCTTTAATGTTTTCGTTTAAATTATGATTACCAATTTGGAGGTAACTAGTAGTGCCGATTTTGTGATATTGTAGTGATGTATGTTTTTTCTCAAATGGAGTCTGATCAAGTTTACTTAACTACGCCCACCATGGGCAATGGGACAATATCCCCTGGGATATATAGTTATAAGAGGGTCCCCAGCTCCCCACTTAGCAGGTAATAGCAAAAAAAATATGTTGAAAACCAAATTTATAATTAAAAAATTATTGTTTTGTCTATATAAGGAAAATATTTAAATAATTAACAGATCTTTAATTTACCACATAAAATCCGAAACTATTTTTAAATATTTATGTATTTTTGAAGTATATAATACTTAATATGGTCATTTCATAATTTCTGTACAGTTATTCGGCAAATTTAAAGCAGAAAAGAACAAAAAAATATATATAAAAATTGTGTTAAAATGGAGTGCAACTCGATGCAAGCTGTAAGGACGATTCTGAGGTAAATACTTTTATATCAGAAGATTTTATCAAATATTTGTATAAAAAATATAATTTATAGAGGTTTATAAACAACGGTTTTTTAAAAATTAATTTTTGCAAAGTATTTTGCCAAACAATTTGTTCTCCTGTCGAAAAAAAATCAAGTGTTGTTAAATCTGTAGATCTTGCCGGCCATTCTTGAGCACTTATTCTACCAATCTGTACCTCGGGATTTTTCAAATAGGTTAAATAATATTTTTCTTGCAAGTGTTTCAATCATTTATTTATTTAGTCGTATGGCACATAAGACAGAACATGCAATCACAAATAAAATCACACAATAAGTAAAAAATCTTAGCCTATTTTTTATAATTTTTATTTTTGAAAATGAGCGCCCTCCACTGCAATTTGACACCATCAAAACCAAGTACGAGGTGTATTCAGAAAATATCGGGAATTTTCGTTTTTTGAAACAAATATTTATTTATTCGTCTACATTAATGTTCTCGCCTTCAAAATAGTCCCCATTGGATATTATGTACATGTGCCAGCTCTTCTTCCAATACTCGAAACACTTCTAAAACTCGATCTTTGGGATAGCCTTTAGTTCTTTCAGCGATGCGCTTTTAATGTCATCTATGCTTGCAAAACGACGGCCCTTTAAGGTTCTCTTTATTTTTGGGAATAGGAAAAAGTCAGACAGAGGCATGTCTGGCGAATATGGAGGCTGGGGCATTATTACAGTATTGTTTTTGGCCAAAAATTTTGTTCAAAATTTAACAATTTTAGAACAAATTTTGCTGCCAGGCGTTTCATACCCAAAACATTCGAAAAAATTTCATGGGATGAGCCAATCGATATACCAACATCATCAGCGACTTCTCTGATGGTTTATAACCATTTCTTCCACTTTTTTCATGTTTTTATCGGTTGTTAATGTGCTTGTGCTTTCGGGGCGTTCGTCATCTTCAACGTCTCCACGGCCATCTTGGAAACTCTTATACCACTTGTAAACTCTTGTTTTACTTATAGCAGACTCACTATAGGCCTTTGTTAAAATTTCACAGAATTTATTTAATTTTTTAAGCAAAATTGGATACAAATTCTTTGATCCATTTCTTTTAACGAAGGAAAAATCGCCGAGCTTATAAAACACGTCCAACCTTAGCGGCTGTCACAGACAAAGTAAACAATGAAAACAGCCAAAGTTTTTATCATACTTCGGGGGCATATATACCAACATAATAATGAAAATTTTATGACAACCGGACCCTCCGAACCCGCGAAATTTAACAATTGCCGTTATTTTCTGAACACACCTCGTACATTCGCAGTGTGATTTCGATGTTTGGGAATGTAGCTCTGAAATTTTGATTTTCAAAAATTTGAAAATAGAACAGCTCCTTAGATAGGTCTTTTTATAGTCACGGATAAGTGTTAAATAAATAATTATTACAATAAATTAAAGGTCATAATATTTTTATAGGTTTTACATTAACGCTAACCACTAGACAAATATTAAAAAAGTGGAATCGCAAATATTACAAATTAATATCTCATTATAGCCAAACATATATAATTGTTGTCAATGTTTAACCTTATCTTTTAAAATCATTGAACAATTTATTATCTACAAATATGATAAAATTTTAGTTAAATGTTATGTTTGGTACTGCTAATAGCCTAAATATTATTAATAATGTTTTTAATCCTAGAAAGTCATTTCGTCCATGTGCAACGAGGAAAATGAGAAGGAGGGCTGTTTTTAAAAATGGCGACTGTAACATACTGCAAGCTAGATTGTCAAAAAGGCGGCTAAGATTTCTGCAAGATATTTTTACGACTTTGGTGGATTCGCAGTGGAGATGGACCCTTACCATTTTCGCTATAGGGTTTTTAGGATCTTGGCTAAGTACGAAGAAAAATTTTTTTGTTATACAGGGTGTGCCAGAACTAACCTTTCAAAAAGGAATGTCGTATGAATGTCATATGAATGTCATATTACATACTTCAGGACACTTTTGTGCTAAAATTTCTTAAAAACCTGACCTGTGGAAGCAAAATCTTCGGAAAAAAATAGTCACACTTTTTTTTAGTTTTCGCACTTATATGGTGGCTGATAGCATTCACCCACGGGGACCTGGAACCCGAGCATCAACTGGCTGACAGTACCTGGAGCCCATGCGTGTTAAACATACACGGCTTCACGTCTTGCTTCTTGTTCAGTATTGAAACTCAACACACTATCGGATATGGTGTAAGAACCACCACAGAAGAGTGCCCGGAGGCCATCTTTATCATGTGTCTGCAGAGTATAGCCGGTAAGAATGCCCTAGTAGAAATTTTACGTAGAAACAACGTTTTTTCCACGTTGAAAAAACCTAAATTTTAAGTATAATTTTATGTTGAAATATCCCGGTTTATAACGTTATATGACAACGTTATTTCTAATGTTATATAAACGTTGAATCTACGTTATTTAAAACGTTGGAAATACGTGGGATTTATGTATTATAAAACGTTGGAAATACGTTGGATTTCTTTATTATACAACGTTGAAAATATGTGGGATTTATGTATTATAAAGCGATGGAAATACGTGGGGATTATTGTATTATAAAACGTTGGGAATACGTTTAAAATACTTGTGGTGTATAGAGTAACCTTAAAATGGTGTCAAAATCCAACACAAAGTGGTGTTAATATAAACACCATGAATTATGGTTGAAAATGTATACAGCAAACACCAAAACGGTGTTTATTTAAAAATATTTGAGAAGTGCACCTACACAGAAAAAAACTAACTAACTATATTAATTTAGTTGACACATAAGTATTTATTTAAATCAACTGTGGGAAGGTTAATATAAACAAAATATAGAAGAATATGCTTAACAGAATGTTCCAGAAATATTCCTAAATGAACTTTCTATAGCAATTACTTTCTCAACATTCTAAGCATATGTTTAGAGTGGATTAATTTTTACCAGTAAACTTTGCACCTTCTAAGAACCTGCCTATAGGCCAGTGAGAATATTCTTAGGATTATGTTATATTTCTTTTAAGCATGTTCTTTAGAAGAAATATAGCATGATCCTAAGAATATTCCAACTGGAAGGTTTAAAAACATTCTTAGAATAAACTGTGCTATCAGGGTTCAATCAATTGACAACTGTCTCTTATTTATCCACATCTTCTTTTTCGTATGTCTACAGGCATGATGATTCAGGCCTTCATGGTGGGCATAGTGTTCGCCAAAATGACGCGACCCAAGCTGCGCACGCAGACGCTGCTGTTCTCGCGCAACGCGGTCATCTGTCAACGCGAAGGCTGTCTCTCTCTCATGTTCCGCGTCGGAGACATGCGCAAGAGCCACATCATCGGCGCCAGCATAAGAGCGCAGCTGATCCGAGCCAAGAAAACGAAAGAAGGCGAGGTGCTGGCCAACTTCCAAACGGAGCTGGCCGTGAACGCAGACGGCTGCGACAGCAACCTGTTCTTCATCTGGCCGATGACGATCTTGCACAAGATCGACGAAAACTCGCCGTTCTATCATCTCTCCGCCAGCGATATGCTTCAGGATAAGTTCGAGATTGTCGTCATTTTGGAGGGGACCATTGAAAGTACCGGGCAGACCACTCAGGCTAGATCCAGCTATCTGGCTAGTGAAGTATGCTGTACAACTTAATATGCGTAACTTAACTTAACTTAAGAAACCTACGTCTGTTAAGTTGTCTGTTTACATTAACTTAATACACGCGAAGAACGCAATATACAAGCACGCGCAATGTAGACATGGATGTAGACTGGGTTGCCTATCTATGTATAAAAGTGAAACAACAAGATAGCGCTATATCGTTTTACTGGGCATGTGATTGGCTCACGTAAGAAACGTATTCCCTTAAGTTGAGCCGGACCCAACTTTTGGATACGTTAAGTTACGTGTGATAAGTTTTCTACGAATGTAAACAGCTGCATTGGTTTCAATGTATTTCAACTTACGTCTATCACGTACGTTAAGTTAAGTTACGCGTATTAAGTGGATGTGAATGAGTCTGACTTACTAAGACTTTTTAAGAGAAAGTAAAACTTTAAAAACTCTTATTAAAAATTTCTCAGAGAAAAGTTTCCACAAGGGTAAATACATTTTTCGTCTTTTAGATTCTGTGGGGTCACAGATTCGAGCCACTGGTGAGTTACAACAAAGATAGACAGGGTTATGAAGTGAACTACTCCAAATTCGACAACACCCTGGCAGTCGACACACCTTTATGTTCAGGGGCTGAACTAGCAGAATTCTATAGAATGCAAGATATGGGTGGTAAGTTAACTTATCAACTCCAGTAAGCTTTCTAGTATACCCACTAATTATTTTTTAGACGTAAACGAACCTGAAGAACTAACTAACTAAACTAACGCTTTTAAGTGCTATAGACCAAAAATAACCAAATAGTATTTGTGATATAAAAAGTTTATTTAATATTAAATAAAATAAACGTTTTTTTAGAAAAACCACAAACAGATTTTAGGCTTATTAACCCACCTTTCAAGGGATCCCAAAGAGAAAACGAAATGAATGACAACCAGGATGACGACAAAACAGGTCCATTCCCAGTGTAAAAAAATGTTCGATAAAAAATGATGAAATCAAATGTATTTTAATGCCTAATTTATAATTAATAATAAATTATAAAACCTATTTATTTTTTTCTTATCATCCAAAATTTTACAGTCGAATTCATTTTGTGTTTTTCCTCATTTAAATTTGGTGATTATATTAATCTCGGAACATTCGGGAAGGTGCTTGCGTGAAGTAGGTCACGTACGCCCTGCATATATAAGGCACTAGTAACGGATTTTAGTAGGAAATGGTGTTTTGAAAAAAATAATTAATAAAAGTCAAATTTGTTATAAAATTATTTATTAACGGCGCCGAAAACAGAAAAATACATTGTAACATTAAGTACCTCGGTACCAGCTGATATAAAAATAAATACGTAAAACATATAAAAAATAAAAAAATAAAAGAGGGAATCAAAATATTTTCGTGAATTGTGATGGGTTTATGGAGTAATAACCATTTACACTAGGTAATCAAATGTGCAGTAATTTTGTTACGTTGTCATATGTTTGGGGTAAAAATGATGCACAGCATTGTAAATGATTATTATATGTATACACCCTGTATGATATGGTTCAATAATACTTTATTTTTATTTTCAGACATTTTCTAGTGGTTTATATTTTGAAGTGATATAAATATCATGCAAAATATAAACTTTACGAAAACCCCAAAACTCGTCAAACGGTGAGGATGGGTAGTGGGTGCAAATGCACCTTTATCTAGAATATTGGCACCCTTCTACACTACATTCTCAAAAATCCATCTGTTTTAGTTTCACGGTTTGACCGACTTATTTCCTACACTGCTACTGTAGAACATCGCCCGCAATGTTCAAAAATATTTAAGCGTAAAATATGTAAAGTTTAACTAGTAAAAAATGCATTTGGGATGCAAAATTAAAAAATCCGACAAAAAATTACACCGGCATGGCGTTGCCGTTTTTTAAGGGTACCATTTCCTCAGGTCCTGTTACCATCACCGGTATGGGACAAGATGGTACCGACGGTATCTTCATTTCTATGTGACCATCGTCAAGGGACATCGAATCCAAGCTCGACAACGTGTCGCTGGATTGAGACCTTATCGATTGGAACAAACCTGGTTTCATATCTATAAGAGAAAATATATTGTTTGTATTTTATTTTAAATAAAAATGTCTGTGTTCTATTTATAGCCTAAGAAAGCTTACCAAATGGCGCCCAGTGTGAATGATTTATTTAAATTTGATATCAGAGATTCTCTGCTTTCGCGCATGACGCGATTTAAAGCAATGTTGCCAGATGTATAATACAGTGTGTCCCAGAACAGAAGAATGGTACTTCTGCTGAAGTTGTTAATTATTATAAAAAGATAACTACGCCAAAAAAAATACCATTCACCATTGGAGTGCAATGATTGTGTTCACATAAAATTTTAATTTCTTTTATATCAATTTTTTTTGTGTTTCTCATAGTAAGCCTTAAAAGAGTCCTTAAAGTGCTAAGAACAACCATTTTACTCCTCTATTGTAAAAAATAAACTTTATTCTATCAGGGCTGTCATAAAACTGTTAAATGTCAATTTTAAGGTTAAATTATAACCCACAAATTAACCTTCAAATTGTCATTTGACAGCCCTGATAGAATAAGGTATATTTATTATAAAAGAGGAGTAAAATGGTTGTCCTTAGCACTTAAAGGCCTTATTTGAGGCTTACAAGTGCCTCTGTAGGAAACACAAGGTTTAAAACAATTATTAAACAGCACAAACCCAAAGCACAAGTATTTTTAGCATGGGATAGAACTTGTTGTGTGGATTGTGATTAAAGGCTTTGTTATCTATGGTGACTAACTTAAAGTTTTAATGATTTATCGTTCCCTATAAGTACGGCCCTGTTCAATGTTTTCGTTTGAGTTTTCGAATATTACGTGCATTAAATAAAAAAACTAAAGTTTTTACTGATTGTACAAAAAAATTTTATGATGAATTTCTATGATTTTGTATATTTTTGAAACAAAAACACATATTTTATTATTTCGAATGAAAATTATCTACCAAATAAACAAAATAAGCAAAAAAGAAAAATAATAATATCGAGGGCAAAATAAAAATTGTAAGCAAAAAGCATACTGATTACAATAATAATAATTTTAGTTCATTTCTTACCATGTATGGTTAAAAAGTTTTTATTTGTTTCTGTAAAAAATACAGAAAAATATTTAATAAAAATTAAATGAATATCTATATATATAAATATATATAAAAAATGTGTAGAGTAAATTAGGGAAAAAATACTACAAAAACTCTACCTAGGCACTCGTTGCTGAATACGGCCCTGTGTTCCTCCAGCTCCCTGGCGCTGCACAAAGGCGTATCGACTTCGATGGTGTTGTTGAACAGCGCGTAGTCGACTTCGTATTCGCCGGAATCTTTTTTGAACGTGATGAGGGATTGGAAGCGATGGCCCCACAAAATTTCAGACGGTAGGTAGCTAGATCTAGCCTGCGTGGTCATGCCCGTGGATTCTATCACACCCTCTGAGAAAAAAACAATGATTTTTGAAATTATATTTTTATTCCTGCTTCTTCGATATATTGTATATACAGGGTCACCAAATAAGTTGTCAAAATATGAGATACAAAATAATATTTAAAATTTTAGAAATTGTTTAATATCTCTGAAATTATAAACTTTAGGCATATGGAATAGTAACAAATCGAAATCGAAAGGTTATTTAATTTACCATTTGATTAAGTCTTATAACACAGTTCAACACGATTTATATGTTATATATAAAAACAACTTATATAAAAAAAATTCTTACCCAAAATGACAACAATTTCAAATCTTTCTCTTAACAAGTCAGTGGCGGACATATTGTAGAGCGGCGAATTCTTATCTATTTTATGGACAATAGTGGTCGGCCATATAAAAAAAATTTTGTCTTCTTCGCCGTCTCCACCAACCTAAAGGAAAAATATTAAATTTAAAACAATACATACAGGTTTTTATTTAAATGAAAATTCATTTAACTTAAAGTCGGTTTCATATAGATGCGAAATGCGAATTGCGAAAAACAAATATTCGCATTTCGCAAAATCCTATGTTATGTATAAATATATGAAAATTATTTTAGACATTTTTCTCACTAGGCAATATTTTCCATGCTAGCATGGAAATAGCTATTTTAAGTACTAAAATGGTAATGTTACTTAAAGTGACTATAAAGGAAAAATAAGAAACATTAATGTACCTCAAAAAAATCTTTTCCTACATAAAAAACAAAAAAAAAATCTACACACTTATTTAAACAGTTAGAATAAAACTTAATACCAACCAAATTACCAAATTTGGGGAATGGTTTATTTCGTTATTTTACCTACATATTATGTAGTACATAATAACCTTTTTGATCTACTAAGAGAATATCGTAATAAAAACAATATATGTAAATACCACAAATTTACGGCACGATACATCTTAAAAATTATATGCCCTCTAAATATTTTACGGTTTTAAAAAAAATTATTGCTTGGGTAAAAATTCAACAAAACTTAAAACCTTCAAAATTTTATAAAATCTTTTAAAAATCATTTAGTTTTAATCATTTTTCAATAACTAAAACTTTCCTTATATTTTTGAAAAATATTTATGAAAAAATATTATATATGTAAATGTTTAGATAAGTCTTAAAAAACTCATAATGGCGACCTGAAAAAAGTTTTATTTTTCACTTTAAGCTTATTTTTCCTTGTTTAGTCAATATTAATAGTATTTATTACCACTAATAACCCTAAAAAATACCAGGCGAATAGGAATTATTTACGGTTAAAAAGTGGTCTTAATATCGTTAAATTATGACTTATGAGTAACATTTACCATTAAGTAAACATTATGACGTTAAAATTACCGTTAAATTTCCTTTTAGGTGAAATACACTTATAAGTAATTTTCTTTCGTAAAAATTACGTGCCTAATGATACTTTAGAGTGTTGAAACTTAAGGGTTATTCAACTAGGTAAAAATAACATAAACAAATAATTTAATAATAAAATGCTCCCATTGGTAATTTGCAAGATTTGAATCTTAAGATTGATTCAATATTTTCCAAAAATCGCATTAATTATTAATGCGATTTTTGGAAAATATTGAATCAATCTCAAGATTAAAATCTTGCAACTTACCAATGGAAGCATTTTTCGCATTTCGCATCTATATGAAACGGGCTTAAAACATTCTGGAACGGACCTTATAGCAAGTTAAAAAGGCAGCAGAAGGTCGTTCCATGAGCAACAAACAAAATAACAAGAAAAACGTAGTGTACTCACCATGTCTACTTACTTTGTCTCTTACCTTCAATTCGGTCTGGAAGAAGGGCAGACTCTCGCCCTCCTTGGTGACCTTGTGCTTGATCAGCTGCGCCCTGACGTGCGCCTCTATGATGTGGCTCTTGCGCATGTCCCCCACCCTGAACATCAAGCACGGTATGCCGTCCCTTTGGCTGATTAGCGCGTTTCGGGAGAACATCAGCGTCTGCGTGCGCTTCTGAGGTCGCGAAAGTTTCGCGAACACCACGCCTACCATGAAGGCTTGCGTTATCACGCCTACTATGCTCTGAGTGCACATCACGAAGATGGCTTCAGGGCACTCCTCGGTTATTGTCCTTCCTGCAAGGAGGGAACAAACGAAATGTAAGTTTTGGTAGTCAAAAGATGCTTTTTTAGATAGTTTAGGGATTTGTTTATAAATAGCACAACTGGTTAAATTAACGTTAAATTTACGTTATACATGGTGAGTCATTTAACTTGAAACTTTGAAATACAGCCCGTTCAGAGTAAAACCGAATATAGGAAAACGTTTTGGGCGTGGCCTCGCCTCCCTCCGACGCGCGTCACAGTAGCTTGTGTGATAAACGACATGACGAAAGGTCAAGCAGGTAAGACGACCTTAAAAATTAAATGATAATAATGCAAAAAATCTCATTTGCTTAGCTACTGTGTCGCGCGTTGGAGGGAGGCGAGGCCACGCCCTATACGTTTCCCTATATTCGGTTTTACTCTGAACGGGCTGTATCTCAGTTAGTATGCATTTTACGAAAAAATATTAAATATAAAAATTAAATGATTCGAGGGGGAAATCAGCAGTACTAAAATTGGTCCTCATACTCTCCTCCTTAAAATGGGAACAGGGACTTTGAATTGACCTTAAGGTTAAAGCAACTGGAATATAACCTTAAAAAATGTTAATTGTTGAATACAACTAATTGGTTAAAACACAAGTTTAAAAAAACGTTATTTTAATACTTGCCTCCAAATCCAATGGTGTGCTGGGTCTCGACACTAAACAAAAAGCACGACGTAAAACTTTTAATGTTTTCTATACAGGGTATCCATTCGGTTTCATTCAAAGCCTGAAAACGTAAATATATTTTACAGGGTGTACCAAAATTGGCGGCCCAAAGGGTAAAGGGTAAAGGTAAATTCCTCCTGTACCAGTATTATCAAATTGTAATATGGGTGGCCTACCTACATTAGAGCATACGCGGGGCTAGTCCAATATAGCGCTCTCATTGGCGGCTTTAAAAGTGAAATAACTCCTGCAGTTTTTTGAATTCGAAAAAATTGGAAAGGAAAATTGGTTTTAAAATTTCAAGAGGAATTCACCTTACCCTTTGGGTATAACAGGTAAACAAAATATGTTTTTTTTTATTTATTTTTAATTTTTTTTTTACTTACGGAATGATCAGTTAAATCGCCGTGGGTGTACACTATGAGCCACCAAACCACTGCGAATAGAAGCCAAGATAGTAGGAAGTTTAAGGAAAATACCGCTAGCGTCCAGCGCCACTGTGCGTCCACCAAAGTTGTGAAAATATCCTGAAAAATATTGTTGGTTATAGATTTTGTACATATTCGTATATAAACAGTGTCTAACATCTTCGCTATAGCGATACAAAGTCGGTTGGATTGGATTTTTTTATTTTTGTGAATATTTCGAAAACCCGACGTTCAATTGATTTTCTGTTTTCACCATTTAAATCAGAAGAAAAAATGCCACAAATTTTCTAATTTAACCGACTTTGTAGCTCCCATAACAACGGAGTTACAATGGTAGCAATATTGAGCAGATAATTTTGTTAATCAAATACTTTTTAACAGAGGATCCTTGATAATGTAGCTATGGGTCCTAATTTTTTATCTTATCAGAGAAAATCATACCTAGTATTTTGAAAAACTTAATGTCTGGAAGATTGTATTATTATTCCCTTATTTATTAGTGTATTTTGAAATGTTAGATGAAATACAGCCACTAATAATAAATAAACTAAGAAATCAAAGAAAAGTTTTGGAACAGGATTTGTAGAAGAGGACCAACAAAATGGCCTCCCAGATATCCAGATCTGACACCATTGGACTTTTTCTAAAATTATTGTGCGTATTTTAAAAAAATTTAAACCATCATTAAAAAGCATTTTTTAGTACTGTTGAATTGCAACTTTCAAGAGCTTTTTTTTTAATTACCTGTAAATATCTCCTTCTCCTTTTAGCCACATTACCCTGTACCACATTACAATCACCATGCTTGAAAACTACCCTTTTCCTCTGCCTTCTGGCATTAAACCTTGATTGTCTGTATCTGAAATAAAAGATAACAAAATCAGTAAATTTTCCACGAAAAATAAACAATTACTTATGTACATTGAAATGTAGAGCAAAATCAAACATATTAATAACATAATTAATCCATCACTGAATTAAAACTGGAGTGCTATAATTAAGAGTATTTTTAGAAGGTATTTTATAATAATGATTGTTGTACTAGGTTTTACTATAAATATATATGTATTATAGGGCACGTGGATTTAAAAACAAAATGTGGTTAGTGTTGGGAATGTTTGACCTCAAATTTTGTTAACAATATATAAATAATAATTAAATGCATATCAATATTTACAAAAAGATAGCGAAGTCATAAATCATCTGTCTGAGCCAATTATATAAAATTATATTAATAATTTATAAAAATATTACCCAAATAAATTTGGCACTAATATTAGTTAAATATTGATAGAAATAGTTGGCAAAATATTCCTAAAACTATACATACACAATTTATTTTATCATTATAAATTATTGTTTGAGATAAATGCATATAGGCTCCATGGTTAAAAACAAACAAAGATGTAAAAAGTTTAGCTCAAAAAACAACACAAAAAAATATATTCATATATTATATCACGAGAACTATGAATTTAATCGGTTAAACTAGGCTCAGTAGTTTTTTGTTTGGTTTTTGTTGGAAAATGTTGAATGCAAAATAATTTAATTATTTTTAATTATTTTGCATGAAACTATTTTCCAAAAAGAAAAATCAAATAAAAAACTTAGTGAGCATAGTTTGACAGATTAAATTTATAGGTTGAGTGATATACGTCTACATTATTTCTCGAATTAAAGGAAACTATTTGACAGTTCATAAAATCTGAAGTATTTGTCAAAATTTAAAAATATTTTTTTAAAGAAAATTCCATTAATTTAGGGTATGTAATAAGTAATAATTGATATTTCGTAAATTAGATAACTTATTTTTTATTGTTTTTAAAAAATGTTTGTTAAAATTTGTAAATAACACCATAAAATCGTAAACAAAAATCTAATATGGAGGCTAAAATTTAATCGCTGTTAGATAGTTCTAGTGATTTAATCGCTTATTTAAACGAAATTTATTCGAAAATTCAAGTGTTTTGATTGGTTCATATTATAATGAGGGAAATAATCAACTTTAAAATATTATGAACAATATTTATAGCAGATAAGACTTTATAAAAGTGACTGATGGCTCATTGGTTATGACATCCGCTTGACAAGCGACAGACCCGAGTTCAAACCCCGGCTGGGATAAAACTTTTTTTTAATTTTAATCTACTAATTTGACTAATTATAGTTAGCAGTCACTAATAATTATTAGTGACTACTTTTTCGCTATGACAGTCAGTCAAATATGACTTATCATTAGTTATTTTTGACTAATTCATTTTAAGAGAGTGTTTATTTATTTTTTTTACCAAAAACAAAAAAAATCCCAACTAAAATAAAAAAATGCGCTTTTTCACAATACCTGGTCCAAGTGTGCGTCCAGGCTTCCTCGCCGGAAGTGCTGGCCTTGAAGGCCAGCATGGACATTTGAGACAAACACCTGCGAATGTTCGCCATTGATCCCATTGGTTAGGCGATGAAACAGCGGCCGGCCAATATCAACACGCGCGTGCAATTGTTTTTCGATTCGCACTCAACTGTTTTGTTTGTTTTTTCACTTAAATGTTTCCATCGAAGTTGTTTTATCGAGCTTCTAGTCGATTTCTTTATTATTGGTAGTCATTGTCGATAATTATAATTTTGCTGCGAACGGAATTGCGGTGATAAGAATTGTGGGTTATAATCCGCTTTTTATTAACGAGTATAGAGATAATGAGCTACTATTTCAAGGCGAGGCTATCATATTTACCTACGTCACGATATTTTTTTGTAGATTTGAAATTCATTAATCATTCACTTTATTTTGACAGTTGGAACCTATAATGAAAATTCCTTTACATTTTAAAGTTCAAGAGTCAGCAAAATCTTCGGAACTTTAATGAACATTATCCCTGATAGCACAGTTTATTCTAAGAATGTTTTTTAAACCCAGTGAGAATATTCTTAGGATCATGCTATATTTCTTCTAAGGAACATGCTTAAAAAACATATAGCATGATCCTAAGAATATTCTTAATGGCCTATAGGCAGGTTCTTAGAATACCGATGTTTTATGTCTGAATTAACAATTTCAACTTCAATCTAATCTGACTTATCCCACAAAATTTTCCAATTTTACTTTTTATGAAATAATGTCATACAACTTATGGTTTAGAGGTCAAATTGTTTATTTAATATAAACTGCGCACCACTCAATGTGTCGCGACCAAAAAGTTTGTTCTTTTTCAAAACGACATAACTTTTTTGTTTCTTGAACGATTTTATTTTGGTCTGTGATGTCTCCTAGCCCCATCTTCTGGCAATTCATGATAAAGATATGAAGCTCAAGGTTCTTCAAGTAAATTTCCTACAGTGTGATATGTTAAACGGTGAAAATTTTCAATAACTTCATCCAAGCCCCGTTTGTAAAAAAATAATTTTTTTCTCATTTTTACTTTGAAATAATGAAGTATTATGTCTTACCTTGAAACATTTTTCAAATTTTTCGAATTGGAATCGTAGCAAGGAAAATATGATTTTTTTTCTATAGAAAAAAAATCATATTTTATAAAAGAGTACATTTAAGGCTTTTTTGTAGGCAATTTAACAGCCGGGAATTGTTTTCTAATTTTGATTCTTAGTGATTTTGGTTTTATCTGAAACTTAAATTTGACAACTGAATCACAAGCAGGAGGTCAAAATTATAAAGAAAACATGTCACGAACGTAAATATTGGTTCAGGATTGGTTTTCGCAAATTTTCACCAAAATGTCATTTTAAAAAAGTTGTCTTTGCTTAGGCCCCTTTGAAAATAATGGAAGTTTGTTGCTTGTTCAGAATTATTCAAGGAACAATCTTTCACCATCTTATCTCCTTGTTTTTAAAAAGGCTGAGTGTATTGCCTACCAAAAAGCCTTAAATGTACTCTTTTTTTAAAAAAATCATATTTTCTTTGCTAAGATTCCAATACGAAAAAATTGAAATCCTTTTCAAGGTAAGACATAATACTTCATTATTTCAAAGTAAAAACGAGAATAAAATTATTTTTTTTCAAACGGGGCTTGGATAAAGTTGTTGAAATTTTTGACCGTTTTACATATCACCCTGTACGAAATATCTATAGCATGAATAGCCAGAGGATGAGGCTAGCAGAAATCACAGACCAAAATAAAATCGTTCAAGAAACAAAAAAGTTATGTCGTTTTGAAAAAGGACGAACTTTTTGGTCGCGACACATTGAGTGGTGCGCAGTTTATTTAAATAAATATTTAAATATTTAAATAAAATAATTTTTTTAAGGGGACGACAAATACATTTCACTGTCATATTATGACAGTGAGGCGTATTTGTCGCCTCCTGAAGAATTTTACGAATGTAGAATACACAATATTAGAACGTGGGCATCTGACATATTTGGAAATATTCTCAAAAGCTTCCTAGAAGCTCCATAAGAAACCTTCTAAGAACATTCCAAAAACGTATTTTTAAAATGTTCTTAGGATGCTTTTTAGGAAGGTTTTAAGAAGCTTTTAAGAATCTAATTGCATCATTAAAAGGGTATCTATTGAATGTTTTAAAAGTCCCTAAAAACATTCTTAGCAATAATGGAAGGTTCTAAGAATATTCCATTATTCCGGGTCATATCTTCTTAGAAGATTCTTAAAATCAAATTTTGCTATCAGGGATACTTTCGATACTTGTTCAGTTTTGAAGTCCTACGGGTAATTTTTGAACAATAAATCATCTGGCGCTATTAAAAATGTCTCTCCACAAAAATTAAATTAAAACTTTACTAATTTTACAATTTAGATAGAACAACTAAAAACGTAGAGAATTAGGCACTTTAATAGCTAAAATGTTATTTCAAAATACATAAAAATTTAGACTTTGGTTGAACAAATGTTGGAATGGAATGACCCTGGAGTAACCGGGGAATGCTCCGCAAAGAACGAGAAAAAAACACAAAAAATTATTTGTATTTGACATCCCCAGATGATTTTTTGCCCAAAAAATACACCAGAAAAAAACATCGTTATTTTGTTAATTAATTTTGTTAATTAAAAATGGGCAACAAAAACGAACTTATCCATTCTTGCACTAAGATTTTCGCACGTAAAACTATTTTTAGCACCATGTAAACCAAAATGAAACTTTAATCCACATAATTCTTATCACCATAAACAAAACTATTCTTTTTTTTTGCATGATGCAAAATTATATACAGTTAACATATTTATCACCAATATATGTATTTACAAAAATAAATTAAAAATTCACTTTTAACCTACCAACACAACTAAATAAACGACGTTTTTGTGAAATAAATAATTACACTTTTTTGCATTGTTTTGAAACTAAAGACTTATACAGGGTGTCTATCACTAGTGTGGTTAATCAACATACTGTTCACTAAAAATCTTAAAGTAATTTTCCGTAAGTTATTTTAAAATCTAAATTTAGTTTTACGGCGATTGAGGATCTAATTAATTTAATTTGTATACCACTGACGCATGTTTAACGTGTTAATTGAAGATTAAAAATTTTAGTTGAGTAATAAAATTACCTATGAAGTTTATAAATCAATTATGCTTAAAAATTGAACAATACTCGTAGATACCAAAACCTTTTTTAACTTTTTAACTACGAACATTTAAATAAAACCTTGAAAATATATAATTTTGCATTTTACACATACAACCTATTTTTAATCATTGTTTTTATTTACACAAAAATATTTTGTTGTGTCTCTACACTGCCAAACAATGATAAAAATTAAAATAACCAAATGCAATAACCAAATACAATTTCTTTATCTTAAAAAAATTGAACCCCATACCTGCGACACATCATTTTAAAGAAAATGCAATTTCTGATCCATTAAAGTTGAAAAAAATTAAAATC